ACTTTTGAGTTCACATCACAACTCCCACCCACCAGCGCCCAGCTTACGATAGTAATCGTGCGCGATTTGGGCCTCGAGCTTGATTGCAGCCAGCACATATTGAGCAGCCTTAAGTACAATCAGGGTAAACAATATACCTACACTGATGCCTCTGGGTAAAGTTTTCAAAACTTCAAGTTACACTGATCCATCAGTGTTTCCAAAAAGGGCACACTCCTCAGAAGGGTTTTGAAAATGTCTACACTGCTAATCGTGAGTAGGCAAAATCCAAACCTAAGCCCTGCTGTTTGGTGGACACACTGGACAAACAAACTCTACTGAAACGAAATGCATAGATTGGGTGAACAGGGTTCATGGAAGTAAAGATTCTATTGTACAAAGAGAGCATAAAATACTCAGGCGAGTAGTGATGATAGGTAGCCATTCACAAGCCTGCGGCCGTACCACCAGCTTCAAACTGCTGAGGCTACTCAATAATGGATATTCTTCGTGTGGCTGTGCAAGCAGCTCCAGCATGGACTGTACTGAGCATTGCAGCCCAGCACCGCTCCGCTGTGCCTTGCTTATGCGTTGCCAATGAGCACTGCTCAATCAATGCACTCCCTGCACCCCACCCCTGTACAAGTTGATCCTGCAATGCCTGCTGTAGTCACAAGGGAAGGGATCGCAGGCACATGGATGGTGTGAGGAACGCCTGATGAGTCAACTCACGCATAAGCAAGCGACAAGCACTTGTGGGCTCAACACATGCTTGACTCAGTGTGGTGTGGAGGTACACCCTACCAACCACGGCAATCGCAGGCAACTGAGAACTATCAGAACTCTTCATGCCATACTGACAGTCGCACCCCTCTCATCCACCCCTCCACACCACACCCAGCACCCCTCCCATCCCACCCTGGAACACGAATCCACAATCAGCCCTGCCAAGACTTGCCGCACCTGACTCTCCACAGCCCCCCTGCACCTCACATGTCCCACGCACCTCCCCCTGTGCATACTCATGCACATGTGACTGACCTCAGAGGCCTAACTGCGCGCGCCTCAGAAGCAGCGGTGGTGGTATGCCATGGGAAACTCGCTGCAGCCCCCCTGGGGAATTGTATGCTGAAGCTGTTTTTTTTAGAATTCTCAAAAATCAAACTCGCTTCAGTCCCCCTGGGGTCCCACATGTCAACCCCCACCCCTCTCCCCTCCCCCCCCCCTCTCCCCCTTCCCCCCTTCTTCCACCCCTCTCTGCAGGTGACTGACCTGAGGGCGTCACTCCGCGCCCCTGAGAGGCAGCGTCGGTGGTGTCACGTCATGAAGGACTCGCCGCACCCGCACTCCCCTTTAGAGTTGGGGTTCACAAACACAAACTCCGACCTGCATGGCCACCCGCCCACCTCGTGCATTTCAGTCCGCAATGGTCGGTACAAGGTAAGGAAAGGGCTCGGGGCAACGAGTAAATGAATGATCTCGGAAATCACAGCAGCAGGTGGAAGCTAAGGGAGGGCGTGGGGCAGCAGGGGAGAAATGTGACGAACGATGACGAGAGCTGCACGCGAACAAAGGAGGTGAGATGGGAAGGGGAAGCGGAGGGAAGGGAGAAAAGAAACGTGGGGACGGGAGGCGGGGGAGGGTGGGGAAGGGGAGAAGAGGAGGAGACGAAAGAGGAGGCAGAGAAATTCGGAGGGGGGAGAGAGAAGGGAGGGGTGCGTAAGGGGGAAGAGACGGGTGCAAGCAGCGGCATGGGCTGGGGCTGGCTGTAACGGACTTGAGGCGGTCTTGCACAAAATCAACGGTGGTGCCGATGACAGCCATGAGCGCCTTGGGCTCCACCACCACTCGCACGCCCTTCTCCTCCACCACCTCGTCGAACCTCCCCGGCTCGTCTGCTCACCGCCGCGCAGACACACACGGCAACGGGCAGAAAGCGAGTGAAGCCGACCATGGGAGACGGAGAATGGGAGATTGAGGCATGACGAGCGGACTGGCCTCTGAAACGGAATGGCGATCTGGTGTGTGCTTTTAAGCGTCATCAGAGGCACGAACGGAACGACGTACAGAGAGGAGCATACGAGCGTCTTCAATTGCTCTACTAAGCTAAAGGCACGACACCGCAAGTGAACCCTAACGCGCTTCCCCTGAATCCGACAATAAGCCATGTCCTTGAATGCGCGAGCGCGCGGCGCGTACCGGCGTAGGAGAGGGTGTAGCTCATGCCGCTGCAGCCGCGCGACTTGACGCCCAGCTTGAGGTACTCCTTGTTGCGCCTCGTCAGCAGCTCGCGAATCCGATCGGCCGCCGCGTCCGTAAGCTGAATCACCTGCCGCCGCGGTGCGCGCGGTCGAATCGCTGCCTTGGCGGCGGCAGCGAGCGCCGCGGTCATGACACGAGGACGACTGCGCTGTGGTGAGCGAAGCTTGGTTGCGTGACTCTCACGGAAAAGCGTGCTAGTCTAACGGGTAACAGCTTATTGCAAGGGCGTCGGATATGTAGAACGGCTCCACAATCGACCCACACGAGCTTCACAAATTCGATGTCCGTGGTTGGGATTCTAACTTTAGGAGGCACTCGACCTGGTGTTCACTTGGTCAGCTCAGCAGTCAGGAAGGCAGGAGAATCGAGAGAGCAAGCAAGTCAGGATTCATGCACCGTTCCTCGAGACTACCATGAAAAGGAACTTGGCATGGCACGATCAGGGCGGGTCGATTTGTTTAGGACGCGTTACAAGTGCCCGTTCGATCAGCTGCGCGATGGATCTATTGAACTGGTAACCATTTTTCATTTCCAGTAGCATTTGCGGTACGGACTATTTTTTGGTTACCACTTCCGTAGCATCTCCTTGCCTTGCACACATTACCTTGCGATGTCGCACACGTAACGTAACAAAGTGGATCCTCCCTTTCAACAGTAAAAAAAAACACAATGGAGCGGCGTTGAACAGAGAAGTGACTGTTTCTGGGGAATCCAGGGTTTGTACTTACTTCGGCCATTTTTAGATGCATGCAACTCAGTTGAGGCGTGCTATTCAGGTGCATGCTATCCCGTCGTTTTTCTGCCTCTGTCGTTACTGTATGTACACTTCCGCCACGAAAATTATTGTTCTGTCAGGGGATGCTACAATCTGACTGACAGTAACTGGCGCAGCTCTCGCACGAATTCGTCGTCCAACCACAACAGTCGCACGAAAATTACTGCGAACAAGGTCAATACATATCGCAACACACCTGACAAAAACGGGGTTAAACATATAGAACCCAATTGGAAACTCATGCGACTCGGGAGGAATCAACCCTAAACACGAGGGCACTTCCCGTGTTTAGGGTTGATCCCTTCCAAAAAATGAGTCCAGGTTCCCTAGATTTTTTGTCCCACTGCCTTAAGGGACATCAACCCTAAACACCAGGACGTTCCCGTGTTTAGGGTTGATCCCTCCCGAACAATGTCCAGGTTTTCTAGGAGTTGTATTTATCCTTTTCGGGCTTCCCTGCCAGGCCGATTTTGTGTGTTGCGTGTGTTGCGTGTGCTGCTTGTGTTGCGCGGGTTGCATCCCCTGATAGACTAGTGTTTTTAGTGGCGGATGTGTACAAACAGTGGCAACCGAGAGAGCAAAACGACGGAATAGCATGCACCTGATTAGCGTGCCTTAAATAATTTGCATGCACCTGAAAATGGCCGTATTTACTTTGTATTCATGGGCGGAGAAACCAGGGTCAATGGTGCGCCGCGGGCAATTCTCGCACCACCACTTTTGATATCGCACGTCGTAGCAAAGTTTGTTGCGAATCTTCGGGAATTTCCAATCCGAGCCGTTGCTCAAGCCACCTACCTTGGAGGCTCATGTTCCCTAAACGACTTTCCCGTGTCCATGAACCACGTTCCAGTACCTTGGATAGGCCCTGGTCGAAACCAAACCTCTCCTTCCTCCCCTCATAATGGTAATGGCTTGTTATCATTCTTAGGACGCGTAGTACGTGGTATTATGTGCTAGAGGTAGCTCTTTCGATACAGTGCACGAGTAGGGAAAAATTAAGTGCCTCTGGCGGATGCACGGGCCGTAACACCTGCCTTGTGCTTGGCGTTTACAACGCATTTTTTAAAGCTTACTAAGCTGGTCATCGCATGTCGACCCACAATGCAGCGCTTCCGCTGACCGTTAACCCTGACAATCGATAGTCTCGACAACGCCTGTTACCGCAATAGCTGTTATTTATTACTAGCCCTATTTTTTACAGTAGTTGTGACAATCAATAGCTTCAACAGGTCAATCTAATATCTCCAGGAACTGTTTCACGCTTAGCACATCGCCTGCAGTTAGAAAGGCCCGCCGTCGTTCTTCCCGCGGAACAACCGCCATCGTCGCTACCTCGTCCTCCTCGCTAGTACTACCCTCCTCGTTAGTGCCACCCTCCTCGTTAGTACTACCATCCGTGCTCGCCCGACAAAGCCAAACAGCCGCACGGGTCTCTGGAGAGGTGACAAGCGGGTCTGACAGTAACGCGATCAAGCAATGTCACGAGAAGGTATTCGCCGATAGACGCTGAGCGCAAGGAGGCGAGCGATGATGTCAAAGCTGATCCATGCGAAGCTCACACACCCATTTCTGACACGCATAAAAGGTCTTCTCTTGCCGCAACGCCGCCCTTCGAAATCACTATTGAGAATTCTCATTAATAATTTCTCACACACTGATTCCTGAGGCGCCTAAAAAGCTCATTCTCCCCTCAATGCCGCCCTCCGCGAAACCATCGCCCGCTGTGGTTGAACTGCTGCTATCGCATGCTGGGCCCCTGACATCTCCCGCTGTGCTTTGTAGTGCCATCGCGTGCTCGGCCGCTCGTCGCGCCACCAGCACGCCCACCCGCGCCATAGCGTCCGCCCGCACATTTCTCCCCCTCATCATTTCCACCCCCTCATCCCCCACTTCCCCTCCCACAAACTGACCAACCCCAAACCCCGTCCGCTTCCCCCCCTCTCTCTCCCCTCATCCCCTCCTCTCCTTCTTTCCGCTTCCCATGTCCGCCTATCCGCGCCCGTGCGTGCAGGGTGGCGGAATCGAGAGAGCACGATGGGCGGGGCGGCAGTGCGGTACGACTGTGAAACCCATGCAGACTCCCTCCCCTTGTCTCCCCCGCCCACCCCCCTCTCTCTCCCGCCCACCCCCCTCTCTCTCCCGCCCACCCCCCTCTCGTTCCCGCCACTCTCCCCCTTTCCCCCGTCACCTCCCCTCCCGTCCCCCTCCCCCTCTTCCCTGTGCAGGGTGGCGGGACCTGGCGAACACGGTGGGCGGGTCGGCACGGGAGTCAACTGACCGGCGCAATGGGGATGGCGATGACGACGGCAGTGGTGGGCAGGCTGTGCTGGTGCGAGGGGGGCGGCCCATCGCCAAGAGCATGCCGCACGCCGGCCAGCCCATTCTCAGCTTCAACACCGGTGAGTGAGCTGTGTGCTGTCTGTGTGTGTGTAGCTGTTCTGCTGCAATGAGAGCAGCATCTCACTGTCTTGCTCTCAGCTTACACACTGGTGACCACTGGTCAGTCAGCATGCCGCATGCAGGGCAGGCAGCCCATTCTCAGCTTCAACACCGGTGAGTGAGCTGGGGCTGCTGGTGATGATGACGCTGCTGCTGCTGCTGCTGCTGCTGGGCGGGCCATGCTGCCAAGGGCCCAGGCGATTGCCCAAGAGCATGCCGCACACTGGGCAGCAGCACACGGGGCAACAGCACACGGGGCAACAGCACACGGGGCAACAGCACACGGGGCAACAGCACACGGGGCAACAGCACACGGGGCAACAGCACACGGGGCAACAGCACACGGGGCAACAGCACACGGGGCAACAGCACACGGGGCAACAGCACACGGGGCAACAGCACACGGGGCAACAGCACACGGGGCAGCAGCACACGGGGCAACAGCACACGGGGCAACAGCACACGGGGCAACAGCACACGGGGCAGCAGCACCTTCGCAGCTTCAATTCAACACTGGTGAGTTGAGGCACACCCCTCGGAGAGGTGAAGCTCGAGATTTGGATTCTCTACCACCTCGTGGGGAGGGAGTGTGCGGTGAAGCAGATGAGCAAGTCGCGCCTGCTCATGCTCCCACCCTCCTCTCCCGTTATACCCCTCCTGTTCCGCCCCTCCTCTCTCCCTCTCCCCCCACCTCTCCCACTCCCCCCCCCCCCCCCTCCCCCCCCCCCCCCGTTCTCCCCCCCGTTCCCCCCCCGTCCCCCCTTTCCCAGTCTTTCCCGGCTGTCTTTCAGAGGAGAGGATACAAGCTAGGGTAGAGGCTGGGCGAGCCCAATAGCTCCCCCCCCCCTCCTTCCTTCCCCCCTCGTCCCAGGCTGCCTGACAGAGGAGTACGAGCTGGGGGAGAAGCTGGGCGAGGGGCACTTCGGGTCGACGTACCGGTGCCGGCAGCGGGCGACAGGAAAGGAGTTTGCGGTGAAGCAGATGAGCAAGACGCGCCTGCTCATGCTGGGCACGCCGCTGGCGGAGGTGAAGCGCGAGGTGGGCATTCTGTACCACCTGGCGGGCCACCCCCACGTGGTGCAGGTGGCGGCAGCGTTTGAGGACTCCAAGAGCGTTGCCATTGTCATGGAGCTCTGCCATGGCGGGGAGCTGTACGACAGAATCATCGCCAAGGGGCACTACAGGTGGGTTCTGGGTTAGTGGGCTGGTAGAAGAACGGTGCAGATGGGTTGGAAGGGGTTGGTATGGTAACTTGAAGCATCACGGCCGTGGTGGAACTGTGCCATGGGGGGAACTGTGCCATGGGGGCGTGATCTCAAGCTTGACAAATTTCTTCCTTTCCCTCTCCTCGTCTCACCTCCTTGCAGCGAGTGCGACGCTGCACGGCTCCCCCCATGGCACAGTTCCATCACGGTGCACCATGAACGTGGTGCACCGCGACCTCAAGCCCGAGAACCCCCTTCCCTTCCCTTCCCTTCCTCTCTTCCTCCCTGCCTGCAAATCCCCCTTGCAGTGAATGCGACGCGGCGCGACTGGTGAGCACGATAGTGTCGGTGGTGCACTACTGCCACACCATGAATGTGGTGCACCGCGACCTCAAGCCCGAGAACTTCCTCTTCGCCAACCGCAGCGACGACGCTCCGCTCAAGGCCATCGACTTTGGCCTCTCGCTCTTCTTCACCCCAGGTACGTCGAAAACGCAACGCCTCTTTGGTTTGGCCTTACCTTAGTGCCGAGATGTTCAGCGCCCTCTTTGCCAAACCAAAGCAGTGGCTGGCTGGCTGGCAGTCACGAGTGGCTCATTCATCTCATTCATTTCTCAAGTGAGGGCCCCACCCCCCCCTCGCTACGCTGCGCTCCTCAAGGCCATTAACCTTTGCCCATCACTCTTCTTCACACCTGGTAACATGCCTCGCCACCTCCCTCCCCACTCCTAGATTGCGCCCCTTGGGACCCGAATGTGCGAGTGTGTGAGAGAGGCCAAGCAAGCCTGAGAAGCAACCCACTGCATCGTGTGCCAGAGGTGGTACCCTACCCTACCATAGTCTACAGGGAAGAAGAGGGGTGATACTTGTAGCATGCTCCTTCATCCCCTTCCCTTGTCTCCCGTCCCTCCTCTCACTCTTCCGTCTCGCCCTCTAGCCCGGAATCTTCCATCTTTTGCCAGGCGAGCCCATATCAGCAGGGCTAGCGGGCAGTCCGCTGTATATAGCCCCGGAGATGGTGCGAACCAACGGGTGCCACTACGGGCCGGAGGTGGACGTGTGGTCATGTATGACGCGCTCCTCTCAGGCCCTTCTCCTCGATCGTTCCCCCCGTTCCCTCACCACCAGGCGAGCCCATATCAGCAGGGCTGGCGGGCAGTCCACTGTATTTAGCCCCGGAGATGGTGCGAACCAACGGGTGCCACTACGGGCCGGAGGTGGACGTGTGGAGCGCAGGGGTCATTCTCTACATGCTGCTCTGCGGCTACTGCCCCTTCCCCACGGGTAGGCCTACTGCCCCTTCCCCACGGGTAGGCCCCTTCCCCATGGGTGTGCCCCTTCCCCCACGGGTGTGCCCCTTCCCCATGGGTGTGCCCCTTCCCCCACGGGTGTGCCCCTTCCCCATGGGTGTGCCCCTTCCCCCACGGGTGTGCCCCTTCCCCACGGGTGTGCCCCTTCCCCATGGGTGTGCCCCTTCCCCCACGGGTGTGCCCCTTCCCCATGGGTGTGCCCCTTCCCCACGTGTGTGCCCCTTCCCCACAGGTATGTCCCGTCCCCACAGGTGAATTTGAGTGAATATAAAAGCTTCCAGGTACGCCTCTTGCCTGTAGATGCATGCTGCCCTCTTCTCACAGGTATGCATATGCTTCTTACTCTATTTTTTCTTCAGCTGAGCAGATTCTTTTCTGCACCTGCCAGTTTAAGGGGCACATGTTATGAGAGAGCATGGGGATGAGAGAGCATGGGCAAGGAGAGAGAGGTATGGGACAGTGGATGACGGGCTACCCTAAGCAACCTGCATTTTTCATCCTCACCCTCCTGATGCACACCTGCCCTCCTGATGCACACTGCCCACCACCACATCACAAGCAGCAGGTCACCCCCTCTGCCCCTCACAAACCTTCCCATCCCCTTCCCATCCCCTTCCCATCCCCTTCCCCATCCCCTTCCCATCCCCTTCCCATCCCCTTCCCATCCCCTTCCCATCCCCTTCCCATCCCCTTCCCCATCCCCTTCCCCATCCCCTTCCCCATCCCCTTCCCCATCCCCTTCCCCATCCCCTTCCCCATCCCCTTCCCCATCCCCTTCCCCATCCCCTTCCCCATCCCCTTTCTCCCACTCCTTCTGCTCCTTCCTCTCAACCCCATTCCCACTCACCACAGCCCTACCCACGATGGAAGAGGTTTTTTGCCATCATGTACGGCGAGCTCTCGTCGTACATGACTTGCTGTTGTGCGATCTGCCATCACGTACCATGAGAACGACTACAACAGCAATGCCCCCACCCCACCCGCCATTCCTTTCATCCCCCTTCCCTCTCCTCACCTCCCACAGACCCGCCAGCCCTGGACGAGCTGTTGTGTGCCATCTTGTACGAGCAACTTCGAGAGCCATGCCCCCTTTCCCTCCCCGCCTTGCTCCGTCGTCCTCTCCCTCAACCCCTCCCCCCTCCTCCCCTCACCCCTCTCAGACCTACCCACCATGGACGAGCTGTTCTGCGCCATCATGTACGACGAGATCGACTACGACAGCGATCCGTGGCCGTTGATCTCGCAGCAGGCCAAGGAGGTGGTGCAGGGCATGCTGGACCGCAACCCCGAGACGCGACTTACAGCCAAGCAAGTGCTAGGTGGGTGGGTTCAATGCCTCGTGGCTGCCTCGGCTCATGGCTGTGTGAGTGAGAGCACCATACGCCTGCCTGCCTGGCATAGGCCCAGTTCCAAGGCGGTGGCGCCGCGCATGGTGGATCGCTATCTGGCCACTAGCGCATGGTGCATCGCTATCTGGCCACTAGGGTCACGACGACGATGCGAGTACCAGGTGGGTAACAACAACCGACCAAACCTCCCTCCCTCCCTCCCTCCCTCCCTCCCTCCCTCCCTCCCTCCCTCCCTCCCTCCCTCCCTCCCTCTCTCCCTATTCTCTCCCCCCACGGCACTGGTGCAAAGCAGAGCGCCCGTGGGTGAGCGATGGGGGCGGGCCCCAAGCACGCCCTTGGACCCCACAGCCCTCCCTGATTTCCCATTCCCCTCGCCCCATACTAACCTAACCCCCCTACCCCCTTTACCCCCCGAACCCCCTCTTCCCACGGCACTGGGGGGACGGCAGAGCACCCGTGGGTGAGCGAGGCGGGGGTGGCACCAGACACGCCGCTGGACCCCACAGTGTTCTCCCGCCTCAAGCGATACGCCGCCATGACGCACATCCGCAAGCTCGCCTCGCAGGTGCGTGCCATCACATGGAGGGGGGGAGCGTGCCATCACATGGAGGGGGGGAGCGTGCCATCACATGGAGGGGGGGTGCGTGCCATCACATGGAGGGGGGGTGCGTGCCATCACATGGAGGGGGGGTGCGTGCCATCACATGGAGGGGGGGTGCGTGCCATCACATGGAGGGGGGGTGCGTGCCATCACATGGAGGGGGGGAGCGTGCCATCACATGGAGGGGGGGAGCGTGCCATCACATGGAGGGGGGGTGCGTGCCATCACATGGAGGGGGGGTGCGTGCCATCACATGGAGGGGGGGGTGCGTGCCATCACATGGAGGGGGGGTGCGTGCCATCACATGGAGGGGGGGTGCGTGCCATCACATGGAGGGGGGGTGCGTGCCATCACATGGAGGGGGGGTGCGTGCCATCACATGGAGGGGGGGTGCGTGCCATCACATGGAGGGGGGGTGCGTGCCATCACATGGAGGGGGGGAGCGTGCCATCACATGGAGGGGGGGTGCGTGCCATCACATGGAGGGGGGGTGCGTGCCATCACATGGAGGGGGGGTGCGTGCCATCACATGGAGGGGGGGTGCGTGCCATCACATGGAGGGGGGGTGCTTCTGGGTGCTTCCCTCCTCTGGGGCGAGCTTGTGTTGCGTTGGGGCGCCACACGCATCACATGCCCATGGCTGGACCAAACAGCCTGCTCGCGCCGCGCCTCATGCGATACGCTGCTATGACACGTATCCACAAGCTCCGGGATTCTGGGCATGCAATGCGGGTGGCTGCTCAGCATGCAGACCTCTTCATACCATACCCTACCCCATCATACCCTACTCCACTCCACCCCACCTCCCTCGGCCGCCAGGTGGTGGCGCAGCAGTTGACGGAGGAGGAGATCCTGGGCATGAGGGAGATCTTCAACCAGCTCGACATGGACCAGAGCGGTTCGCTGTCCCTCGATGAGATGCGCCGCGGGCTGCAGAAGATGGGCGCCCGGATGAACGAAGGGGAGCTGCGCCAGCTCTACTCCGCTGTCAGTCGCCTGCCTTGCTGCTCGCCTGCCTTGCTGCTCGCCTGCCTTGCTGCTCGCCTGCCTTGCTGCTCGCCTGCCTTGCTGCTCGCCTGCCTTGCTGCTCGCCTGCCTTGCTGCTCGCCTGCCTTGCTGCTCGCCTGCCTTGCTGCTCGCCTGCCTTGCTGCTCGCCTGCCTTGCTGCTCGCCTGCCTTGCTGCTCGCCTGCCTTGCTGCTCGCCTGCCTTGCTGCTCGCCTGCCTTGCTGCTCGCCTGCCTTGCTGCTCGCCTGCCTTGCTGCTCGCCTGCCTTGCTGCTCGCCTGCCTTGCTGCTCGCCTGCCTTGCTGCTCGCCTGCCTTGCTGCTCGCCTGCTGCTGCTCGCCTGCCTTGCTGCTCGCCTGCCTTGCTGCTCGCCTGCCTTGCTGCTCGCCTGCCTTGCTGCTCGCCTGCCTTGCTGCTCGCCTGCCTTGCTGCTCGCCTGCCTTGCTGCTCGCCTGCCTTGCTGCTCGCCTGCCTTGCTGCTCGCCTGCCTTGCTGCTCGCCTGCCTTGCTGCTCGCCTGCCTTGCTGCTCGCCTGCCTTGCTGCTCGCCTGCCTTGCTGCTCGCCTGCCTTGCTGCTCGCCTGCCTTGCTGCTCGCCTGCCTTGCTGCTCGCCTGCCTTGCTGCTCGCCTGCCTTGCTGCTCGCCTGCCTTGCTGCTCGCCTGCCTTGCTGCTCGCCTGCCTTGCTGCTCGCCTGCCTTGCTGCTCGCCTGCCTTGCTGCTCGCCTGCCTTGCTGCTCGCCTGCCTTGCTGCTCGCCTGCCTTGCTGCTCGCCTGCCTTGCTGCTCGCCTGCCTTGCTGCTCGCCTGCCTTGCTGCTCGCCTGCCTTGCTGCTCGCCTGCCTTGCTGCTCGCCTGCCTTGCTGCTCGCCTGCCTTGCTGCTCGCCTGCCTTGCTGCTCGCCTGCCTTGCTGCTCGCCTGCCTTGCTGCTCGCCTGCCTTGCTGCTCGCCTGCCTTGCTGCTCGCCTGCCTTGCTGCTCGCCTGCCTTGCTGCTCGCCTGCCTTGCTGCTCGCCTGCCTTGCTGCTCGCCTGCCTTGCTGCTCGCCTGCCTTGCTGCTCGCCTGCCTTGCTGCTCGCCTGCCTTGCTGCTCGCCTGCCTTGCTGCTCGCCTGCCTTGCTGCTCGCCTGCCTTGCTGCTCGCCTGCCTTGCTGCTCGCCTGCCTTGCTGCTCGCCTGCCTTGCTGCTCGCCTGCCTTGCTGCTCGCCTGCCTTGCTGCTCGCCTGCCTTGCTGCTCGCCTGCCTTGCTGCTCGCCTGCCTTGCTGCTCGCCTGCCTTGCTGCTCGCCTGCCTTGCTGCTCGCCTGCCTTGCTCGCCTGCCTTGCTGCTCGCCTGCCTTGCTGCTCGCCTGCCTTGCTGCTCGCCTGCCTTGCTGCTCGCCTGCCTTGCTGCTCGCCTGCCTTGCTGCTCGCCTGCCTTGCTGCTCGCCTGCCTTGCTGCTCGCCTGCCTTGCTGCTCGCCTGCCTTGCTGCTCGCCTGCCTTGCTGCTCGCCTGCCTTGCTGCTCGCCTGCCTTGCTGCTCGCCTGCCTTGCTGCTCGCCTGCCTTGCTGCTCGCCTGCCTTGCTGCTCGCCTGCCTTGCTGCTCGCCTGCCTTGCTGCTCGCCTGCCTTGCTGCTCGCCTGCCTTGCTGCTCGCCTGCCTTGCTGCTCGCCTGCCTTGCTGCTCGCCTGCCTTGCTGCTCGCCTGCCTTGCTGCTCGCCTGCCTTGCTGCTCGCCTGCCTTGCTGCTCGCCTGCCTTGCTGCTCGCCTGCCTTGCTGCTCGCCTGCCTTGCTGCTCGCCTGCCTTGCTGCTCGCCTGCCTTGCTGCTCGCCTGCCTTGCTGCTCGCCTGCCTTGCTGCTCGCCTGCCTTGCTGCTTCGCCTGCCTTGCTGCTCGCCTGCCTTGCTGCTCGCCTGCCTTGCTTGCTCGCCTGCCTTGCTGCTCGCCTGCCTTGCTGCTCGCCTGCCTTGCTGCTCGCCTGCCTTGCTGCTCGCCTGCCTTGCTGCTCGCCTGCCTTGCTGCTCGCCTGCCTTGCTGCTCGCCTGCCTTTGCTCGCCTCCTTGCTGCTCGCCTGCCTTGCTGCTCGCCTGCCTTGCTGCTCGCCTGCCTTGCTGCTCGCCTGCCTTGCTGCTCGCCTGCCTTGCTGCTCGCCTGCCTTGCTGCTCGCCTGCCTTGCTGCTCGCCTGCCTTGCTGCTCGCCTGCCTTGCTGCTCGCCTGCCTTGCTGCTCGCCTGCCTTGCTGCCGCCTGCCTTGCTGCTCGCCTGCCTTGCTGCTCGCCTGCCTTGCTGCTCGCCTGCCTTGCTGCTCGCCTGCCTTGCTGCTCGCCTGCCTTGCTGCTCGCCTGCCTTGCTGCTCGCCTGCCTTGCTGCTCGCCTGCCTTGCTGCTCGCCTGCCTTGCTGCTCGCCTGCCTTGCTGCTCTCCTGCTTGCTTCGCACTGCCTTGCTGCTCGCCTGCCTTGCTGCTCGCCTGCCTTGCTGCTATTCTGGATTGCTGCTCGCCTGCCTTGCTGCTCGCCTGCCTTGCTGCTCGCCTGCCTTGCTGCTCGCCTGCCTTGCTGCTCGCCTGCCCTTGCTGCTCGCCTGCCTTGCTGCTCGCCTGCCTTGCTGCTCGCCTGCCTTGCTGCTCGCCTGCCTTGCTGCTCGCCTGCCTTGCTGCCTCGCCCTGCCTTGCTGCTCTCGCCTGCCTTGCTGCTCGCCTGCCTTGCTGCTCGCCTGCCTTGCTGCTCGCCTGCCTTGCTGCTCGCCTGCCTTGCTGCTCGCCTGCCTTGCTGCTCGCCTGCCTTGCTGCTCGCCTGCCTTGCTGCTCGCCTGCCTTGCTGCTCGCCTGCCTTGCTGCTCGCCTGCCTTGCTGCTCGCCTGCCTTGCTGCTCGCCTGCCTTGCTGCTCGCCTGCCTTGCTGCTCGCCTGCCTTGCTGCTCGCCTGCCTTGCTGCTCGCCTGCCTTGCTGCTCGCCTGCCTTGCTGCTCGCCTGCCTTGCTGCTCGCCTGCCTTGCTGCTCGCCTGCCTTGCTGCTCGCCTGCCTTGCTGCTCGCCTGCCTTGCTGCTCGCCTGCCTTGCTGCTCGCCTGCCTTGCTGCTCGCCTGCCTTGCTGCTCGCCTGCCTGCCTTGCTGCTCGCCTGCCTTGCTGCTCGCCTGCCTTGCTGCTCGCCTGCCTTGCTGCTCGCCTGCCTTGCTGCTCGCCTGCCTTGCTGCTCGCCTGCCTTGCTGCTCGCCTGCCTTGCTGCTCGCCTGCCTTGCTGCTCGCCTGCCTTGCTGCTCGCCTGCCTTGCTGCTCGCCTGCCTTGCTGCTCGCCTGCCTTGCTGCTCGCCTGCCTTGCTGCTCGCCTGCCTTGCTGCTCGCCTGCCTTGCTTGCTCGCCTGCCTTGCTGCTCGCCTGCCTTGCTGCTCGCCTGCCTTGCTGCTCGCCTGCCTTGCTGCTCGCCTGCCTTGCTGCTCGCCTGCCTTGCTGCTCGCCTGCCTTGCTGCTCGCCTGCCTTGCTGCTCGCCTGCCTTGCTGCTCGCCTGCCTTGCTGCTCGCCTGCCTTGCTGCTCGCCTGCCTTGCTGCTCGCCTGCCTTGCTGCTCGCCTGCCTTGCTGCTCGCCTGCCTTGCTGCTCGCCTGCCTTGCTGCTCGCCTGCCTTGCTGCTCGCCTGCCTTGCTGCTCGCCTGCCTTGCTGCTCGCCTGCCTTGCTGCTCGCCTGCCTTGCTGCTCGCCTGCCTTGCTGCTCGCCTGCCTTGCTGCTCGCCTGCCTTGCTGCTCGCCTGCCTTGCTGCTCGCCTGCCTTGCTGCTCGCCTGCCTTGCTGCTCGCCTGCCTTGCTGCTCGCCTGCCTTGCTGCTCGCCTGCCTTGCTGCTCGCCTGCCTTGCTGCTCGCCTGCCTTGCTGCTCGCCTGCCTTGCTGCTCGCCTGCCTTGCTGCTCGCCTGCCTTGCTGCTCGCCCTGCCTTGCTGCTCGCCTGCCTTGCTGCTCGCACTGCCTTGCTGCTCGCCTGCCTTGCTGCTCGCCTGCCTTGCTGCTCGCCTGCCTTGCTGCTCGCCTGCCTTGCTGCTCGCCTGCCTTGCTGCTCGCCTGCCTTGCTGCTCGCCTGCCTTGCTGCTCGCCTGCCTTGCTGCTCGCCTGCCTTGGCTGCTCGCCTGCCTTGCTGCTCGCCTGCCTTGCTGCTCGCCTGCCTTGCTGCTCGCCTGCCTTGCTGCTCGCCTGCCTTGCTGCTCGCCTGCCTTGCTGCTCGCCTGCCTTGCTGCTCGCCTGCCTTGCTGCTCGCCTGCCTTGCTGCTCGCCTGCCTTGCTGCTCGCCTGCCTTGCTGCTCGCCTGCCTTGCTGCTCGCCTGCCTTGCTGCTCGCTGCCTTGCTGCTCGCCTGCCTTGCTGCTCGCCTGCCTTGCTGCTCGCCTGCCTTGCTGCTCGCCTGCCTTGCTGCTCGCCTGCCTTGCTGCTCGCCTGCCTTGCTGCTCGCCTGCCTTGCTGCTCCGCCTGCCTTGCTGCTCGCCTGCCTTGCTGCTCGCCTGCCTTGCTGCTCGCCTGCCTTGCTGCTCGCCTGCCTTGCTGCTCGCCTGCCTTGCTGCTCGCCTGCCTTGCTGCTCGCCTGCCTTGCTGCTCCGCCTTGCTGCTCCTGCTTGCTCTCGCCTGCCTTGCTGCTCGCCTGCCTTGCTGCTCGCCTGCCTTGCTGCTCGCCTGCCTTGCTGCTCGCCTGCCTTGCTGCTCGCCTGCCTTGCTGCTCGCCTGCCTTGCTGCTCGCCTGCCTTGCTGCTCGCCTGCCTTGCTGCTCGCCTGCCTTGCTGCTCGCCTGCCTTGCTGCTCGCCTGCCTTGCTGCTCGCCTGCCTTGCTGCTCGCCTGCCTTGCTGCTCGCCTGCCTTGCTGCTCGCCTGCCTTGCTGCTCGCCTGCCTTGCTGCTCGCCTGCCTTGCTGCTCGCCTGCCTTGCTGCTCGCCTGCCTTGCTGCTCGCCTGCCTTGCTGCTCGCCTGCCTTGCTGCTCGCCTGCCTTGCTGCTCGCCTGCCTTGCTGCTCGCCTGCCTTGCTGCTCGCCTGCCTTGCTGCTCGCCTGCCTTGCTGCTCGCCTGCCTTGCTGCTCGCCTGCCTTGCTGCTCGCCTGCCTTGCTGCTCGCCTGCCTTGCTGCTCGCCTGCCTTGCTGCTCGCCTGCCTTGCTGCTCGCCTGCCTTGCTGCTCGCCTGCCTTGCTGCTCGCCTGCCTTGCTGCTCGCCTGCCTTGCTGCTCGCCTGCCTTGCTGCTCGCCTGCCTTGCTGCTCGCCTGCCTTGCTGCTCGCCTGCCTTGCTGCTCGCCTGCCTTGCTGCGCCTGCCTTGCTGCTCGCCTGCCTTGCTGCTCGCCTGCCTTGCTGCTCGCCTGCCTTGCTGCTCGCCTGCCTTGCTGCTCGCCTGCCTTGCTGCTCGCCTGCCTTGCTGCTCGCCTGCCTTGCTGCTCGCCTGCCTTGCTGCTCGCCTGCCTTGCTGCTCGCCTGCCTTGCTGCTCGCCTGCCTTGCTGCTCGCCTGCCTTGCTGCTCGCCTGCCTTGCTGCTCGCCTGCCTTGCTGCTCGCCTGCCTTGCTGCTCGCCTGCCTTGCTGCTCGCCTGCCTTGCTGCTCGCCTGCCTTGCTGCTCGCCTGCCTTGCTGCTCGCCTGCCTTGGCTGCTCGCCCGCCTTGCTGCTCGCCTGCCTTGCTCCTCGCCTGCCTTGCTGCTCGCCTGCCTTGCTGCTCGCCTGCCTTGCTGCTCGCCTGCCTTGCTGCTCGCCTGCCTTGCTCCTCGCCTGCCTTGCTGCTCGCCTGCCTTGCTGCTCGCCTGCCTTGCTGCTCGCCTGCTTGCTGCTCGCCTGCCTTGCTGCTCGCCTGCCTTGCTGCTCGCCTGCCTTGCTGCTCGCCTGCCTTGCTGCTCGCCTGCCTTGCTGCTCGCCTGCCTTGCTGCTCGCCTGCTTGCTCCTCGCCTGCCTTGCTGCTCGCCTGCCTTGCTGCTCGCTGCTTGCTGCCTTGCTGCTCGCCTGCCCTTGCTGCTCGCCTGCCTTGCTGCTCGCCTGCCTTGCTGCTCGCCTGCCTTGCTGCTCGCCTGCCTTGCTGCTCGCCTGCCTTGCTGCTCGCCTGCCTTGCTGCTCGCCTGCCTTGCTGCTCGCCTGCCTTGCTGCTCGCCTGCCTTGCTGCTCGCCTGCCTTGCTGCTCGCCTGCCTTGCTGCTCGCCTGCCTTGCTGCTCGCCTGCCTTGCTGCTCGCCTGCCTTGCTGCTCGCCTGCCTTGCTGCTCGCCTGCCTTGCTGCTCGCCTGCCTTGCTGCTCGCCTGCCTTGCTGCTCGCCCTGCCTTGCTGCTCGCCTGCCTTGCTGCTCGCTGCCTTGCTGCTCGCCTGCCTTGCTGCTCGCCTGCCTTGCTGCTCGCCTGCCTTGCTGCTCGCCTGCCTTGCTGCTCGCCTGCCTTGCTGCTCGCCTGCCTTGCTGCTCGCCTGCCTTGCTGCTCGCCTGCCTTGCTGCTCGCCTGCCTTGCTGCTCGCCTGCCTTGCTGCTCGCCTGCCTTGCTGCTCGCCTGCCTTGCTGCTCGCCTGCCTTGCTGCTCGCCTGCCTTGCTGCTCGCCTGCCTTGCTGCTCGCCTGCCTTGCTGCTCGCCTGCCTTGCTGCTCGCCTGCCTTGCTGCTCGCCTGCCTTGCTGCTCGCCTGCCTTGCTGCTCGCCTGCCTTGCTGCTCGCCTGCCTTGCTGCTCGCCTGCCTTGCTGCTCGCCTGCCTTGCTGCTCGCCTGCCTTGCTGCTCGCCTGCCTTGCTGCTCGCCTGCCTTGCTGCTCGCCTGCCTTGCTGCTCGCCTGCCTTGCTGCTCGCCTGCCTTGCTGCTCGCCTGCCTTGCTGCTCGCCTGCCTTGCTGCTCGCCTGCCTTGCTGCTCGCCTGCCTTGCTGCTCGCCTGCCTTGCTGCTCGCCTGCCTTGCTGCGCTGCCGCCTGGCCTTGCTGCTCGCCTGCCTTGCTGCTCGCAGCGCTGCTTGCTGCTCGCCTGCCTTGCTGTCGCCTGCCTTGCTGCTCCCTGCCTTGCTGCTCGCCTGCCTTGCTGCTCGCCTGCTTGCTGCTCGCCTGCCTTGCTGCTCGCCTTGCCTTGCTGCTCTCGCCTGCCTTGCTGCTCGCCTGCTTGCTGCTCGCCTGCTTGCTTCTCGCGCCTGCCTTGCTCTGCTCGCCTGCCTTGCTGCTCGCCCGCCTTGCTGCTCGCCTGCTTGCTCCTCGCCTGCCTTGCTGCTCGCCTGCCTTGCTGCTCGCCTGCTTGCTGCTCGCCTGCCTTGCTGCTCGCCTGCTGCCTCGCCTGCCTTGCTGCTCGCCTGCCTTGCTGCTCGCCTGCCTTGCTCCTCGCCTGCCGTGCTGCTCGCCTGCCTTGCTGCTCGCCTGCCTTGCTGCTCGCCTGCCTTGCTGCTCGCCTGCCTTGCTGCTCGCCTGCCTTGCTGCTCCGCCTGCCTTGCTGCTCGCCTGCCTTGCTGCTCGCCTGCCTTGCTGCTCGCCTGCTTGCTTCTCGCCTGCCTTGCTGCTCGCCTGCCTTGCTGCTCGCCTGCCTTGCTGCTCGCCTGCCTTGCTGCTCGCCTGCCTTGCTGCTCGCCTGCCTTGCTGCTCGCCTGCCTTGCTGCTCGCCTGCCTTGCTGCTCGCCTGCCTTGCTGCTCGCCTGCGTTGCTGCTCGCCTGCTTGCTCCTCTCCCTGCATGCCCCCTTTTGCGTGTCCCTGCTTGTGCTACTTTGAGACGAGGGCGACAGAAAGATGGGTGAGAGGATATGAGGACGAGCTGAGACAGCTCTACTCCGCTGTGAGTCGGTCGCCTGGCTGGCTGGCTTGCGTTGCGTTGCATGCTCCACTGTGATGTCAGCTGCCTTCACTGGGTGCTTGCCTGGTGGGTTTCTTAATTTGCTGCTTGTATGCCCCTCTCTCTTCTCTCTCTCTACTCTCTCTCTTCCACTCCCTCTCTACATGTGCTTCCACTCCCTCTCTACATGTGCTTCCACTCTCTCCCTCTTCATCTGCTCTCCCGCTCCTCTTTTTTCTCCCTTCCCCCTATCGCCCATCCCCCACATCCACGCCATCTCAGATGGACGTCAATGGCAGTGAGAGCATCGACGTGAACAAGGTCTTTGCTGCCACACTGGACCTTTTCTTTCCAGCCCTCACTCCCTCTTCATCTGCTCCCGCTCCTGCCCCTTTTCCCCCCCTCCTCCCCCACACCCCTCCTCAGATGGATGTGAACGACAGTGAGAGCATCGACATGAACGACTTCTTTGTGGCCACGCTGGGCCATGCTCAATCTCCCTCCCTCTGCTCTGCTTCCTACACCCCTCCTCCCAAACCCCCCCCCCCCCCCCCCCCCCCCCCCCCCGCCTCCCTCCCCCACACAACCCCCCTCTCCCGCTTCTTCCCCCCCCACACACACGGCAGATGGACGTGAACGACAGTGAGAGCATCTGCATGAACGAGTTCTTTGCCGCCACGTTGGGGCTGAACCGCATGATCAAGGAGGAGAACCTCCACCAGGCCTTCCAGTACTTTGATAAGGATGGCAGCGGCTTCATCACACGCGATGAGCTCACTCAGGTGCGTTCAATGGTGGGTACATCTTATTTCCCCTTGGGAGTGATCAAGGAGGCAAACCTGCACCAGGCATTCCAGCACTTCAGTGTGGGCCCATGCTTCTATGCCGTGTGTTCTCATGCTCCCATGCCTTATGCCTGGGTGGGAGATGCGTGAGGGGGCATTTTCCTTGTATCTGTGAGGGAGATTCTCACTGCAGGTAGGTACAGCTGCAGCAACTGCATGTTGGTCTGCATGCCCCAAAGATGGAGGTTGGCAGGTGTGTGAGGAGTTTGGCATCGGGCCGGAAAACGTGAGAGAACATGGCCCCTCTGTTGCGACACCAGTAGCCTTCTCCTTTTAGATCTTCTCTTCTCGGTGTGCATGGGTGTGCATGGGTGCGCATGGGTGTGCATGGGTGTGCATGTGTGTGCACGTGTGTGCATGTGTGTGCATATGTGTGTATGGGTGTGCATGGGTGTGCATTTGTGTGCATGGTTGTCCATGAGTGTGCATGGGTGTGCGTGCATGGCAGGTGTGTGAGGAGTTTGGCATCGGACCGGAGAACGTGGAGGAGATGATGCAGGAGGTGGACGTGAACAAGGTGAGGTGGACGTGAACAAGGTGAGGTGGACGTGAACAAGGTGAGGTGGATGTGAACAAGGTGAGGTGGATGTGAACAAGGTGAGGTGGATGTGAACAAGGTGAGGTGGATGTGAACAAGGTGAGGTGGATGTGAACAAGGTGAGGTGGATGTGAACAAGGTGAGGTGGATGTGAACAAGGTGAGGTGGATGTGAACAAGGTGAGGTGGATGTGAACAAGGTGAGGTGGATGTGAACAAGGTGAGGTGGATGTGAACAAGGTGAGGTGGATGTGAACAAGGTGAGGTGGACGTGAACAAGGTGAGGTGGATGTGAACAAGGTGAGGTGGACGTGAACAAGGTGAGGTGGATGTGAACAAGGTGAGGTGGATGTTAACAAGGTGAGGTGGATGTTAACAAGGTGAGGTGGATGTGAACAAGGTGAGGTGGACGTGAACAAGGTGAGGTGGACGTGAACAAGGTGAGGTGGATGTGAACAAGGTGAGGTGGATGTGAACAAGGTGAGGTGGATGTGAACAAGGTGAGGTGGATGTGAACAAGGTGAGGTGGATGTGAACAAGGTGAGGTGGATGTGAACAAGGTGAGGTGGATGTGAACAAGGTGAGGTGGATGTGAACAAGGTGAGGTGGATGTGAACAAGGTGAGGTGGATGTGAACAAGGTGAGGTGGATGTGAACAAGGTGAGGTGGACGTGAACAAGGTGAGGTGGATGTGAACAAGGTGAGGTGGACGTGAACAAGGTGAGGTGGATGTGAACAAGGTGAGGTGGATGTTAACAAGGTGAGGTGGATGTTAACAAGGTGAGGTGGATGTGAACAAGGTGAGGTGGACGTGAACAAGGTGAGGTGGACGTGAACAAGGTGAGGTGGATGTGAACAAGGTGAGGTGGATGTGAACAAGGTGAGGTGGATGTGAACAAGGTGAGGTGGATGTTAACAAGGTGAGGTGGACGTGAACAAGGTGAGGTGGATGTTAACAAGGTGAGGTGGATTTGTCAGCAAGGTACATCACTTATTACAGCATGGCACTATGGCGAGTAGGTCATGTCACTATAGTGAGTAGTTCATGTCACTGTATTGAGTACAGCTACGATGAGAATGTGGAGGAGAGGATGCAGGAGGTGGAAGTAAACAAGGTGAGTGGATGCGAGCAAGGTGAGGTGGATGCGAGCAAGGTGAGGTGGATGCGAGCAAGGTGAGTGGATGCGAGCAAACTACATTCATTTGGTGCAGGACAGAGGAGACGTGGAGGAGATGATGCAGGAGGCGAGTGTCAGATTATTATCTACATTGTAACCTACATCTATCCTATAAGCTTTGGTTAGAGATAGGCACCCAAACTTAGTTTGGGTGCACAACTAGAGTTAACCCTAGTTTGAGGTTGGAACCCAACCTTGGCCCTATTATTCGGCCCCTAAGGTTGGGTTGGGAGATTATTGGCCCCCCCAATAATGTTGACCCACTTTGGTCAACATTATTGCCCCCCCAATAACACCTCAACCCAACTTATTGGTGGGGGCCAATAATGTTGGCAAGGTTCCCAACCATACCTCCCATTCTAGCTCAACTATGTATACCTGCATGTTTCCTAATGCAACCATCGGTATTTTTTTCAAACTTTCTCGCAGTGAGCCGTCTCACACGATATGCCGTTGTATGGATAATGGAACGAGTAGTTAGTTAGTTTGTTTTCCATGCCCTCCCATGCCCTCCTACACCCGGCCTTGCCCTACCCTAACCGCCCATGCCCCTGGGCGCCTCATGTACGACCATTGCATAGACTTCCACGAGTTTGCATTCTCTCACCCCACCACCATGTCTACCCATGCGCTTGCACGTTTGCCCACCAACAGGACGACCGAATAGACTACAACGAGTTTGTGACGATGATGCACCGCCACAGCGTGCCGGACCACATCAAGAGCAGCAGCATCGGCAAGGACAAGCTCGCCCTCCTCAAAGTGCAGAGCTCACTTGAACGAGTCCGCCGCTCCCCCACCATCTAGCTATCGTTAAACTTTGCCGCTTAATCATCTAACAAAGGAGGTTATGAGGGAGTGTCCGCGCCTTGGGCGACTAAATTGCTGAGGTCTTTTGAGAGCTGTTATTTTTTGGGGGGATGCGAAACAGCCGATTGCAATCGATCTGGCAAGTTTTGTTTTTCTTTTTCCATTTCATTAATCATCATAATTTATTACTAATTTCTGAAAAAGGAATAATGAGAAAAATGACAAACAAAATCAGAAAAGAAGATTTGAAGCGGTAGTTTATTCTTTCTTGCCAATCTCTGTAAATGAGTTGATTCGTTCATTGTATTGTTTAATAAGTAGTGCAATCTTAGGTTGCTCACTCAATTTATCGGTAACAGCAGCCAACTAATGATCTAAAGTGAAAGTCCCCGCCCAGGTTGAGTTACATGTGACATTCATCACTGTTACGGGTGCAATGAATCGAGGTAGCGAGAATTGCACTAAGGTGTCAAACGAGTACAAAATGTGAGCGAAGGCATGAGCGAACATTTATACGCGAAACATGCAAAACGGTAACGCGGTGCGTGCGAGCTTGCTAGTGCTACGCTGGAGCGAGGCTCGGGCTAGTCCCGAAGCGTAGGCCGATACGGCCATGCCAGCAGTGCGAGGTTTGGCAAAACAGTGCGCGCGAAGTCGGCGAAGTTCCGTTAGCAGTAACGGGCGAACAATCGGCTGTTGCTGTACGCGATGTAGTCGGCCCGTAAGGAATGCCGAGAAAATTCCTTACAATCACCTAGAAATTACCATCACCCAAGCACTACAGCGTTTCAGGTTCGTTTTGATTGAGTCCAGTTGAGCGCATTGCAGCACCTGCTTCTGCGAACACCTCCTGGGCGCCATCCACCATCCTAGTTCAGTCTGATTCAATACACTCTGATCAGCAACAGGGAATGAGTGAGAGTCACAGAATCCAATTGAAGTGAAGCCTTAGATTCGTGTCGAGATTCGTACGGCGATCGGCCAACAGGCTCTGTGACTCGTCATGGCCTTCGCGCTGTGCTCTCGCTCCCTCGTCCCCTCCGTCGTCGCGACCGCCGTCTCCTCGCGCTCTGGCGGATCGCAGCCAGGTCGAGAAGGGCAGCGCGCCATGCTCTCCGCGTGCGCCACCTCCGGCCTTCCGCGCGCGCGCGCCTTGCTTAGTCCACGCTCTGCGTCCGCCAGTCGGCGCGCTTCCCTGCTTACTCCGCGCTGTTCCGCGGGGGACGGAATTGGGGCGGAAACAGAGGGGGGAGGGGCGGAGGCAGGAGCAGGTGTCGGGCACGCAGGGGGGGAAAACATTCTGCGCGTCGTGTATCATAGGTGCGAAGGGGGACAACGGTGGGATGGGATGGGGAGGGAGCGGGAAAGGGTAAAGAAAGTGCTCGCAGGAGGGGGGAAAGGGGTGAGGAATATCCAGTATGTCAGGCGCTGTGTAATCATCTGCTATAGCTGTGCACGCCTGCAGACTATGACGACACGCACACGCCATGCCACGTGGCACGTGCCCACCCACCCACCTGTCGCCACACACCCCCCACTCTCTCTATGTCTCCACCGCACATGCCAGTGCTGCGAGGAAGTCGCATCTCCTGTCCTGCTGTTCTGCACACAGATGCCACGCAATGCCAGGCAATGCCACGACCGTGCCGGTCATCTCGTTCGAGTCAAATCAAGAGGCAGCTCGTTGTGTGTGCTGGGCTGCTGCTGCACGCCCACATTCCATTCCATGTATGCGAGTGATCCTGGCCGTCCGTGCCCTGAGATGGGTCGTGTAGGTCGTGCTCGTGCCATGCCATGGCGTGTGGACAGGTGCAGGGCCACATGACATACCCTGGGAGTGGACCACTGCGGAGGCAGCTCCATCCGTGGTTCATACCCGTGCTATGGCTCCATCCGTGGTTCATACCCGTGCTATGGCTCCATCCGTGGTTCATACCCGTGCTATGGCTCCATCCGTGGTTCATACCCGTGCTATGGCTCCATCCGTGGTTCATACCCGTGCTATGGCTCCATCCGTGGTTCATACCCGTGCTATGGCTCCATCCGTGGTTCATACCCGTGCTATGGCTCCATCCGTGGTTCATACCCGTGCTATGGCTCCATCCGTGGTTCATACCCGTGCTATGGCTCCATCCGTTGTTCATACCCGTGCTATGGCTCCATCCGTGGTTCATACCCGTGCTATGGCTCCATCCGTGGTTCATACCCGTGCTATGGCTCCATCCGTGGTTCATACCCGTGCTATGGCTCCATCCGTGGTTCATACCCGTGCTATGGCTCTATCCGTGGTTCATACCCGTGCTATGGCTCTATCCGTGGTTCATACCCGTGCTATGGCTCCATCCGTGGTTCATACCCGTGCTATGGCTGGTGTGACGCGAAGCATCGAATGCAAGTCAGTGTACGCATGCCGAATCAGTGTACGCATGCCGAATCAGTGTACGCATGCCGAATCAGTGTACGCATGCCGAATCAGTGTACGCATGCCGAATCAGTGTACGCATGCCGAATCAGTGTACGCATGCCGAATCAGTGTACGCATGCCGAATCAGTGTACGCATGCCGAATCAGTGTACGCATGCCGAATCAGTGTACGCATGCCGAATCAGTGTACGCATGCCGAATCAGTGTACGCATGCCGAATCAGTGTACGCATGCCGAATCAGTGTACGCATGCCGAATCAGTGTACGCATGCCGAATCAGTGTACGCATGCCGAATCAGTGTACGCATGCCGAATCAGTGTACGCATGCCGAATCAGTGTACGCATGCCGAATCAGTGTACACATGCCGAATCAGTGTACGCATGCCGAATCAGTGTACGCATGCCGAATCAGTGTACGCATGCCGAATCAGTGTACGCATGCCGAATCAGTGTACGCATGCCGAATCAGTGTACGCATGCCGAATCAGTGTGGCTGGCATGGCATGCAAATGAATGCTTTCAGGGCCTCATGCACGCTTCCTCCCATGTCACCATGCGCCGCCGTGTGTGCCAGCACTGGCAGGGGCGACGGTGACTACACGGGGTGGGGGCTGCACGTGTGTGGGGCGATGTGGAGACAGAGACCCTCTGCCTGCCAGCACCTCTTGCCCTCCTCGCTTGCCACTGCCACTCGTGGTGTTGCTGGTGCTCATGCACCTTCCCATGCTGCCATGCGCTGCTCCATGTGCCGGCACTGGCAGGGGCGATGGCGACTACAACGGATGGGGGCTGCACGTGTGGGGCGACGTGGAGACCGAGACCGACTGGCAGCACCCTCTGGACTCCTCGCCTGCTGCTGCCACTGGCGGTGTTGTTGCTGCGGGTGGTGGCGGGATGAAGTGGGTGGAGTGGCGCGTGCAGCTGCAGCCACAGGCGCGGACAGTGAACGTGCTGCCACACCGAGGGGACTGGAAGGTGTGTGCCTCACCTCACCGCATTGCACTGCGCTGCACTGCGCTGCTCTGTCTCTCGCCTCCCTGGCTCCCATGCTACATACCTGCTCCTCTCACGGCCCATGCCCTGTCTCTCTCCTTCTGCATGCCTCGTGTGTCACGCTCCAAGCACCACATCCCTTTCCCCTCACACCTGTGAGTTGTGCATCACTCGTTACCATCTCATCTCAGTAACCCTACCCTGCATGCCATGACAAGGACAGTCCCCGGTGTTCCCAAACCCGTCGTCCCTTCACTGCCGCACACATCTCTTCTTGCTCTTCCATTCCTCAACCCCATTTTCTCACTCACGTTCATTCTCTTCTTCTCTCCCGCTCTGCCGCCCTTCCTCCCTCATCCTCCCCCCCCCCCCCCCCCCCCCCCGCCAGGACTGCACGTGGACCATAGACATGGCCGCGCTGCCCGCACCGCCATGCGCCACCAGCACCCACCGCGGCTCCACAGTGTGGCTCATCGCTGACTGCCAGCGCGCCTTCCTGCACGCCCCCAACCTCGACCGCCTCCCCAAGGTACCTCCACCCGCCTCTCTCCTGCCCCCACCGGCGTCTCTCCCACCCACCCCAACCTGTCCCTCGCCTCAGGTGTTTCGTGGGTGGATTTGTGCGCCACGCACTGCTCCCTTCTCGTGCTGCTCCTGCCGTGCCGGTGTCTTTTCATCCTTGCTTACTTCTTTTGAGGCGCCTCAAAAGTGCCGGTGTCTTTTCATCCTTGCTTACTTCCCTCATGCTGTACTTGCCGCCCTAACTTTTGCCCGCCTGGCCAAGCAAGCAGCCTCGCACACTCGCCTGCCAAGGCGGGCCATGCTCACCCACACATTGAAGAAGTGTTTTGAGACGTCTCAAAAGGCGGGCCATGCTCACCCACACATTCCCTGCCTGCGCCTCTGTGCCTTGCATTCCCCGTGTCGTGTGCTGCGCCATGCTGGGTTGAGCGTGTGCCTTGTGTGGTGTGGTGTGCGGCGCGGTGCGGCATCAATGTGTGTACGAGCAGGGCAGTTTGGATCTATTCAAGGCGCACTGGGTGTCGGCAGACGAGATTGCAGTGGACTGGGACTATAACGAGAGTGACTATGGCGAGCAGATTCTCTTCGCCCTGCATGCCAGCGAATCCGCCTCACTCGCCCTCACAGAGGACGGCGTGCAAGGTGCCGTGCCGTCATCTAGCATCAATCGCTTTACCATCATATATCATCACATTACCATCATATATCATCACATTACCATCATATATCATCACATTACCATCATATATCATCACGTTACCATCATATATCATCACATTACCATCATCTGCCATCGTGCTACCAGCATGTATCATCGCATGAACTCATCACCATTCCACCGTCACCTCCCTGCCACCAATCCTCTCTCCCTCCCTTCATCATGCCTGCCTGCATGCCTCCACGCCTGCATGCCTGCGTGCCTGCGTGCCGGCCGGCCGGCCATCACCAATGACACACCAGGAGCGGACTCCGTCATTCCCCTCACGCTGGACGCTGCCGGCCTCTCACCTGCTGTAAGCCTCTCACCTGCTGTAAGCCTCTCACCTGCTGTAAGCATCGCACTCCCCCCGTATGGCGGGATGGCGCATGGCATGGTGCAATTATGGCATGGTGCGCTTATGGCATGGTGCAATTATGGCATGGTGCGCTTATGGCATGGTGCAATTATGGCATGGTGCAATTATGGAATGGTGCGATTATGGCATGGTGCGATTATGGCATGGTGCGATTATGGCGTGGTGCAATTATGGCATGGTGCAATTATGGCATGGTGCAATTATGGCATGGTGCAATTATGGCATGGTGCAATTATGGCATGGTGCGCTTATGGCATGGTGCAATTATGGCATGGTGCGATTATGGCATGGTGCAATTATGGCATGGTGCAATTATGGAATGGTGCGATTATGGCATGGTGCGATTATGGCATGGTGCAATTATGGCATGGTGCAATTATGGCATGGTGCAATTATGGCATGGTGCAATTATGGCATGGTGCAATTATGGCATGGTGTGATTATGGCATGGTGCAATTATGGCATGGTGCAATTATGGCATGGTGCAATTATGGCATGGTGCAATTATGGCATGGTGCAATTATGGCATGGTGCAATTATGGCATGGGGCAATCAGCGCATGGCATGGTGCATTCAGGCACGCCATGGCGCAGTGGTGCATGGTGTAACGACCCGTGACCCATGACCCATGACCCGTGACAAGTTCTATTCAGATTTTTAAGCATCTCGTGCAACTTCTTACCACCCCACTCTTGTCAACACTGGCTCCCTTCATCTCCACTCTTGTCAACACTGTCTCCCTTCATCTCCACTCTTGTCAACACTGTCTCCCTTCATCTCCACTCTTTTCAACACTGTCTCCCTTCATCTCCACTCTTGTCAACACTGTCTCCCTTCATCTCCACTCTTTTCAACACTGTCTCCCTTCATCTCCACTCTTGTCAACACTGTCTCCCTTCATCTCCACTCTTGTCAACACTGTCTCCCTTCATCTCCACTCTTTTCAACACTGTCTCCCTTCATCTCCACTCTTGTCAACACTGTCTCCCTTCATCTCCACTCTTTTCAACACTGTCTCCCTTCATCTCCACTCTTTTCAACACTGTCTCCCTTCATCTCCACTCTTGTCAACACTGTCTCCCTTCATCTCCACTCTTGTCAACACTGTCTCCCTTCATCTCCACTCTTTTCAACACTGTCTCCCTTCATCTCCACTCTTGTCAACACTGTCTCCCTTCATCTCCACTCTTGTCAACACTGTCTCCCTTCATCTCCACTCTTTTCAACACTGTCTCCCTTCATCTCCACTCTTGTCAACACTGTCTCCCTTCATCTCCACTCTTTTCAACACTGTCTCCCTTCATCTCCACTCCTCACACACCCTGGCACTATCAATCTCTCAGCCCTCCCTCTTCCGCCTCTTACCCAACCCCACCCCTCCCTCCCTACCCGCTCCCATGCTTCCCCCCCTTCCCCATGCAGGTGCGCACCAAGTTCCCCCACCTATCGTCGTTCATCTGCCCGCACCTGTCCTTCAACCCCCTCCCTCACCTTCTCCCTCCTCCGCTCCCCCTCCCCGCTTCCCCTCCCCATCCCCATGCAGGTGCGCACCAAGTTCCCCCACCTAGCGTCCTTCACCTGCCTACGCCTCCCCACCCCCCCCCTCCCCCACCTGCACCGCCTGCTTGCCTCACAGACCGCCCTCGCCTGCTCCTCTGGTGGGTGTCTGGGAGGGGCGAGGGGCTAGGGGTGGAGAGGTGCTGGTTGATGTATGGGGTGGATGGATGGGGGGAGAGAGGAGGAAGGGTGGCATGGGGCTGTGAGGGCGGACGGGGGAGAGGAAGGGTCCCTGCATGAAAGCAGGCTGTTGGGCTGAGCAAGGGGGGGCATGTTTGAAGGGGCAGTTGCTTCAACGTGGGTTGCAAGGAGAGCATGCATCGGTCGCCTGGGAAGTCTGCTGTTCATGGCTCTCACCATGCTTGATCGCCTGCCCTGCTGTATTGCTTGCATGCCCCCCCTGTGCGTGCATCGCATTGCTTCATCCCTCTGCACCACTCTCTCCCTACAGTGCACCCATATCAGCACGCATACTCATGCCTCATCACTGCAGCAGCAGCTGGCAGGAGCACAAGATGTGCTGCCGCAGTGCCGTTGCCAGGAGTGATACTGCTCTGTGCTCGCTCATCTCTCTCCTTGCATTGCAACCTCTCAATCACTTGCCCCTCCCACCCTCTACCAGCGTCCAGCACACCCATCAACGCCACATGCCTGCACGCTGCAGGTGGCAGGCAGGCGCGGCGCACTGTCATGTTTGCTCGCTGATGGCAGGCGAGGCGCACTCCAATGCTTGCTGCACTCGTCTCATCGTCCCTCTCTGCTCTCTACCCTTCTCTCTACGCCCTATTCCCCCGCACGCCTCTCCCCTCACCCCACAGCATCAGGCACGCCCCTGGACGCCACGTGTCTGCAGGTGGCAGGCGCCTTGGACGCGCTGTGTGGGTACGAGGGGCCGCTGGGAGCGCACGTGGAGAAGCAGGGGGGGGGCTGGTGGTCCAGTGGCAGTGGCACCGTGAGCATTCACGTGTGGGCGCCCACGGCTCAGGTGTGACGATTGTCGATTCAGCTTGCGAGTCACTCAGCACGCACGGGGGGTGGGATGAGGTGACTCTGTGGCACTGGGAGCATTTATGTGTGTGGGCATCCACGCCTTACCTGACAGACCTCGTTGTGGATGTACCATGCACTATGTGCAAGCACATGCTGGAGCCGTTCATTCTTCATTCGTTCTTCATTCATGGTGCTACTTTCCTTCCCCACCTAGTCACACCACTAACAAGCAACCACAGTAACAGGAACCATGGCTAGGAACCAACCTAGAGTGGGCTGGTCAGCACAAACCACCCATGAGTCATGTAGTTCACACGTTTCTTCCCTGCTCTCCTCACCACCTCTACCCACCCACCCCCTCTCCTCTCCTCACCTCCTCTCCTCAATTCCCCCACTCATTTGCTTCGCTCTCCTCCGTCTCCCTCCCTTCGCTTCGCTTGCTCTGCCACTCGTGGACCACCCACACGCATCCACCCACCACTCTGCCTATCTAGCAGCTGCCCTGCCACTGCGTCTGTTCCACCAACCCCATGCTGAGGACGAGCTCTTCACACCGCCTTCATAAACCTCGCAGGTGGTTCTTGAGAATGAAACCCCTAATACACGTCCTCACCTGCTCTCCTCTCCTGCCCGCCTCCCCTGTTAACCTTGTCACCGCTCTGCTCACAGGAGGTGACGCTGCTGCTGTTCGACCAGCCACATGCATCGCCCCCCGTGTCTCGCCAGCCCATGGAGCGGGGCAGCGAGGGGCAGTGGAGTGCACAGGGCCCCATGGCATGGCAGGGCATGTACTATCAGTATGAGATCCGGGTCTTCCATCCCGCCACCAATAGAATCGAGACATGTGTCACCACCGACCCTTACTCCCGCGGGTACTTACCTTCTTGTCCGCTCCTGTACTCATTTGTTTTCAAATATGGCGTCAACTTTCGATCTCTGTTCTATGTGCCTCGCCTCTGCCATTGCCTGATGCTCAGTGAACGACTCACTCATGCCAATTGACTCAGGAAAGAACAGAGCCCAACTCGGATAGCAGCATCAGCATGACCCACTCGTGCAATTGCCTTCAACACCATCGCACGCTCTGCTCTGCTCTCTCCACGTCCCGCCCTGGATGGTTGGTTGCTAGAACCTCGACTCATGGGCTACCCTTGCTCTTTGCCCTGTCGCCTTTCCCTCTACCGTGCCCAATCAGCCTCTCAGCCAATGGAGAGCGCTCATTGGTGGTTGACCTGAGTGATGTCTCGTTGGCGCCGCCTGATTGGTCCACGTTGCATCAGAGAAAGCCGCCTCTGCAGTCGTTTTCAGACGTGTCCATCTACGAGCTTCACATCCGTGACTTCAGGTGCGCTTCTCTCTCGCTGCCCTCGTTCCACATGCACTCTCTCTCCAAACTTGCTCACCATTCGTTCTTCACCTCACCATTCGTTCTTCACCTCACCATTCGTTCTTCACCTCACCATTCGTTCTTCACCTCACCATTCGTTCTTCACCTCACCATTCGTTCTTCACACATGTGCCTGTGAAGCTGTTTGTGGATCACGCTTTTGCACCTGTGCCATTATGCTCCTCGTTCTCTACAATCCTGACCTGCCCAAGTCCAAGTCCAAGTGCACCGGTTGGCCCTGCTTGCACCCTGCTGCTGCTGCTACCTCATGCTCTCCTCTGCTCTATACAGTAACATACAACAACTCATGCGCCTCTCTTTCTTTCTACCCGCCTTGCTTCCTAACAATTTCTCTCATTCCCTCCCTCCCTCACCCTTTTTCTCCCATGCTCGCTCACCGCACCACCCAATGCATCCATCAGTGCATCGGACTCCTCAGTGCCAGAGCCCCACCGAGGAACGTACCTCGCCTTCACTCACCCCGTGAGTGCACCCCTGCCTGCCACTCCACGCCTGCCCCACTTTTCCCCAGCGCCTCACCACACTGGCCCCACTCCCGTCCACGCCCTGCCAACCACCGGCTCTTTACATGAGCCCCTCTGCTTACCTGTCGCCCATCGCTCCTGTCTCTGTCCGCATGCTGTTCACCCATTCTCCTTGCCTTCCCACATACTGCGTCTTCCCCACCACTGTCCCGCGCCTCTTCCCCACCCCTCCCCCACCCCTGCATCTTCCATCCAATGCCTCGTCTCTTCATCTCTCCTCCATCTCTCCTCCATCTCTTCTCCATCTCTCCTCCATCTCTCCTCCATCTCTCCTCCATCTCTCCTCCATCTCTCCTCCATCTCTCCTCCATCTCTCCTCCATCTCTCCTCCATCTCTCCTCCATCTCTCCTCCATCTCTCCTCCATCTCTCCTCCATCTCTCCTCCATCTCTCCTCCATCTCTCCTCGCTCACTCCACCCTCACCCTCTCTCTCGACACCATCACGCCCCCCAACAGCAGTCACAGGGAGCACAGCATCTGACACAGCTAGCGGCCAGCGGGCTCACGCACCTGCACCTGCTGCCAGCCTACGACTTTGGCTCCGTCAATGAGGACAAAACCGCCTGGCAGGCTGTCGGTCAGTGCCTCTCGGTGCCTCTCGGTGCTCTCTCTCTCTGTGTCCTGCTGTGCTCCGCTCCCATGCCCTCCTGCCTGCGCATTGCTCTCCATGGCCCACCTGCCTGCCCGGGCCTTCATCAAACTTTCTGAATGAGATTAGCAGCAACTGGCAGGCTGGGGGTGGGTGGGTGGGGCAGGGGTGAGTGGCCGTGGGAGCATGCTGTCGTATTGCTTGAGGGATTGGGAGAGCAGTGATTGAGTGGGAGAGCAGTGATTGAGTGGGAGAGCTGCGAGCCAACTGGCATCAGCCACATGGCTGATCATTTCCACCAAGCACTCCCCGCACTCACACGCCATCCTCTTGACTGCCCCCCCTCCCTCCATCACTGCAGATGAGCCCTCCCTCAGGCAGTGCGCACCTGAATCACATCCCATCCTCCCGCCTGCCCACCTCACCAACCCCCCCTTCCATCTCTGCAGATGAGCCCTCCCTCAGGCAGTACCCGCCTGACTCGGACCGCCAGCAGGCGGCTGTAGCAGCCGTGAAGGATGTGGACGCTTACAACTGGGGGTGAGTGGTTGCCGTCGAGGTTTTTGCGTGCCTGGTTGCGAGGATGTGTTGCTATGCTGTTTCCTGTTTGCTGTTTCCTGTTTGCTGTTTCCTGCTGCAGCCCAGCAAGCTGGCATGGCAGTGTGAAGGATGTGTGCAAGGTTCACAAGTGAGAGTGGGTGAGAGGGAGTGTCCGTCTGTGCTCTCACATGAATACATGCCTGCCTCACTGTGTGCCTGCCCCTCTTCCTGCCTGCCCTTCTCCCCACCCACGCCCCCCTCCCCCAGATACGACCCGGTGCACTGGGGTGTGCCGGATGGCAGCTATGCCACTCACGCTGACGGCACTGCTCGCACCCTCGAATTCCGTTCCATGGTGCAGGTGGGTGTGGTGCAGGTGGGTGTGGTGCAGGTGGGTGTGGTGCAGGTGGGTGTGGTGCAGGTGGGTGTGGTGCTGGTGCGTATGGAGGGCTGGTGGTGAGTATGGTGCCTATTTTCTGTGCGGAGGATTTGACCACCTTTTTCGTCTCCTGGGGGAATCAAGGATTTCACTCCACATAACATGCAACATGCACATCCGTTATCCGTTGCCAGTAACTGTAGCATCTATCACATACCTTGCGTAAGAAAACTCCAAGCTGGCACATAATGATCATTAAAGAGTGAGTAAAGTTGCACAAAGAACAAGCTTCTGATTTTTCCCTCCTCTCTTTGCCCCCTGCTACATGCCAATTCTCACCCATGGCGAGCGGGTGCGAGGGCAGGCAGTGAACGGCATGGGGCTGCGCGTGGTGCTCGATGTGGTCTACAACCACCTCTACGCCAGCGGCCCTCACAGCCCCTTCTCCGTCCTCGATAAGGTGTGTCTCAATGAATGTCTCGCTGTTCTCACAGTCTCGCTGTTCTCACAGTCTCGCTGTTCTCACAGTCTCGCTGTTCTCACAGTCTCGCTGTTCTCACAGTCTCGCTGTTCTCACAGTCTCGTTGCCCTCACAGCCAGCAGCACATCCCCTTTTCTGTGCTCCATAAGGTGTGTCTGAGTGAGAGATAACGTGTGTCTGAGTGAGAGATAACGTGTGACTGACAGCTCTCTGCTGCTTTCTTCCCAGCCCATTGCTTATCTTTACACTCCCTCTCTGCGCCGCTCCTCCCTCTCTCGCTGATCACCAGGTGGTACCCGGGTACTACGTGCGGAGGGACGTGGAGGGGCGGGTGGAGAGCAGTGCGTGCTGCAACAACACGGCGAGCGAGCATGCCATGGTGGAGCGCCTCATAGTGGATGATGTGGTCATGTGGGCCACGCAGTACAAGGTGAGGCATGCCTGAAACATTTCTTCATTCCTTTTTTAGATACATTGTGATTTCTTGGTACTTGTGGTGCAACCTAACTGAATGTAACCAGAAACAGGTCATGTCCGGAACACTGTTACGCTTACAGCACAGCTATGTCTTGAGAATACTCGTGCTTGTGTCAGCCATGTCAGGGCGCCAACACCTCTTCTTTCAACACTTATCCGTTGGCTCTGATCCCTGGCGCCATTGCATGGCAGGTGGATGGGTTCCGGTTTGACCTCATGGGCCACCTCATGAAGCATACCATGGTCAGTGCTGCTGTGAATTCTGTACAACATGCTGAGCGATTTATGCACCGCTAAATCATTCTCATTCTCTTCACACCCATTATGTCTTTACTTGTCTTCTCCTTGCCTCGTCTCCCTGCCTCGTCTCCCTGCCTCGTCTCCCTGCCTCTTCTTCTTGCCTCGCCCTCAGCTGCGCATCCGCTCGGCACTGGACGCACTCACAGTCGAGGAGCATGGGGTGGACGGCAAGGCCATCTACCTGTGAGCATGGGGTGGACGGCAAGGCCATCTACCTGTGAGAATGAACCAACTGCTGAGATGTGTCTCAATGGTATCCTCTTACTTGTGAGAATCAACAGTTTCAACTGCTCATACCTCTGCCCACTAGACCGCATTATAGCATTCACGCTCACACCATGCCCGCTAGCATTTCACACCATGCCCGCTAGCATTTCACCCACCGCTGCTGTCACGTCTTGCCAGCTCTGCGTCTTGGGCTCCATTCTGTTTTGTTATCCTTTCGCCACGCCCCTGCTCGCCCTGTAATGCTGTGAACGCACACCCCACACCAGGTATGGCGAGGGGTGGGATTTTGGCGAGGTGGCGAATAATGGCCGCGGGGTGAACGGAGCGCAGGCCAACCTGCACGGCACGGGCATCGGCAGGTGAGGCCCTCGTGTTGGCAGTGGATGGCAGGTGAGGCCCTCGTGTTGGCAGTGGATGGCAGGTGAGGCCCTCGTGTTGGCAGTGGATGGCAGGTGAGGCCCTCGTGTTGGCAGTGGATGGCTGTACAGCGGTAGCAAGAGCTAGGCATCCCCTCTTCTCCTTCCACAGCGACTGTGCACAAAGCGATTCTTCGTCATCTCCCCCTGAATGCTGGCCTTGGCTCCTCACAGCGATTCTTCCTCTCGCCTGAGTTCTTTTTCTTTCCCATCCCCCGTCCCACATTCCCCAACGCCCCTCTACTTTCCTCGCCCCTCTGGCCTCTCCCCCTGCTGCAGTTTCAACGATCGCTTCCGCGATGCAGTGGTCGGGGGGACGCCCTTCGGCAATCCACAGCAGCAGGGCTTCGCCTCGGGCCTCCTGCTGCTCGTGTGTGCCCCATGTGGCCCCATTTCCCCCGTGTTCTATATCCCCCATGTCTCCTCCATGTCGATTTCTTTTCGAAGTAGACATCTCTCGCTCTCATCGTTTTTCGATGCTGTTGTGGAGAAGTCAACCCCTCGTCTCCTTGTCTTCACACCTCTGCTCATTCTGTAGTGTGCTGTGTGCCCATGCAACGGCCGCACACATATGCCTTCACCCTCGTGCCTTCACCCTTGTGCCTTCACCCTCGTGCCTTCCCACAGCCGCCCAACTTGGCCCATGCCATCCCATCCCATCCCATCCCATCCCATCCCATGCCATCCCATCCCATGCCATCCCATCCCATCCCATCCCATCCCATCCCATGCCACCCCATCCCATCCCATCCCATCCCATCCCATCCCATCCCATCCCATCCCATCCCATCCCATCTCATCCCATCCCATCCCCCCATCTCAGCCCAACGAGTACGAGGAGAGCGAGCGGCAGCGGGAATACAGCTCCAGCAGCAGTGGCAGCAGCAGCGGCAGCAGCAGTGGGGAGGAGAGCGGGGGCGAGGGGGGGTCATCAGTAGCGTGGTGGCGGCGGCGACTGGCGGAGAGTGTGGATGTGATCCAGGCGGGCATGGCGGGCAACCTCAGAGACTTTGCCTTCGCCTCTCATGCCACCGGCCAGCAGGTGGGTTGGTTATGAGAGGAAGGATGTTTGGGCAGTGCAGGGCACCTGGTCCATGCGTGTGAGGCAAGCTGTGAAAGAAGGTGATATGTGGTGAGACGTCACATTGTTTCACGTGGTAGGATGTTTGGGCAGGGCAGGGCAGGGCAGGGCAGGGCAGGGCAGGAGATGTGGTCCATGAGGGTGAGGTGAGGCAAGCTCTCTGTCCAGCTTGCCGCTCCTTTGCCTCCACTGTCCACATCCACATTCTTCCTCCGTGCCTCACGTCCCCTTTCCTCCGCGCCTCACGTCCCCTTTCCTCTCCTCCCCTGCTCCTCACGGCTGCTGCCCGCACAGGTGACGGGAGGGCAGCTGTACACGTTTGGAGGGTCGCCTGTGGCATATGCCGCCACCCCGCATGAATCGGTAAAGCTGACATGAATCGGTAAAGCTGACATGAGCTGACATGAATCGAGTGACGCGCACGCCATGCTGAAGACGGCCTTCTCCTTCCTGCCCACCGTTCCAAGCATGTGTTCTGTCTGTGTATCCCACACATACCCGACACTGCCAAGAACCAATTGAGATAGATATTCGTTTTTGCAAGCTTTGTGCCCTGCTTTGCTCTGTCTCATGCATGCTCTTCATTCCCTTTTCCACGGCATGTGCATGTACAGGTGACGTACGTATCAGCACATGACAACGAGACTCTCTTTGACATCATCACCATCAAGGTACCACCTTCTCTGCCTGCTTCTCATGCCACCATTTCATGTCAGCACCATTTCGTGTCAGCACCATTTCGTGTCAGCACCATTTCGTGTCAGCACCATTTCGTGTCAGCACCATTTCGTGTCAGCACCATTTCGTGTCAGCACCATCTCGTGTCAGCACCATCTCGTGTCAGCACCATCTCGTGTCAGCACCATCTCGTGTCAGCACCATCTCGTGTCAGCACCATCTCGTGTCAGCACCATTTCGTGTCAGCACCATCTCGTGTCAGCACCATCTCGTGTCAGCACCATCTCGTGTCAGCACCTTCTTGTGAGGAGTGCGCCTCTGCTTCTCTGCTCTTCCACCACCTATGTACATATCCCCTCCACTCAATGCAGCCTTGCATCCTCCCCTTCCCTTCTGCGCTTCTGTTCCTTTGCGTTTCGTTGTTTCTTCTCCTCTGCACCCGCCCATCCACGCGCTCCCCCATCCCCACCCACCAGGCAGCAGCAGCAGCAACCCCCCAGCAGCGCGTGGCAATGAATCGAGTGGGCATGGCGGTGGTGGCATGGGGGCAGGGCGTGCCATTCATCCATGCGGGCGACGACCTGCTGCGCTCCAAGTCGCTCGACAGGGACTCCTACAACTCAGGGGACTGGTTCAACCGGTGAGTGGGGAGTGCAGAGCAGACCGAGTCACTGAGACCTCGCTGGGTGAGTGTCAACTGAACACTGTTGTTGTGCCATTTCTGTGCTGAGGGAAGGCTGGTGCAATTGCCAGTGCTGCGCTCCAAGTTGCTCGACAGGGACTCCTACCACTGAGGGGACTGGTTCAACCGGTGAGTCTGAGTGAACATCGTTGCTGTGCCATTTCATCTCCACACTTTCTGTTACGGTGGTTGGTGTGGATTCGTGCTGCCCCGCCTGTCTTCTTGCATTGAGGCCTGCTGCGGGCAACACATGCTGCCACGCGAGGGACCACCTACTGCTCTCAAAGTCACCCACCCAGCCACTCACCTGCCATTAAACCGGTCATGGGAAGTGCATGCTGCAAGTGGTCAGAGCAGAGTGGATCAATCGGTCACAGGGGCATTATGAGATACATGGACGCACCGGCACTCCTATCTACCCTCCACTCTATGCTCCATGACCTGCTCTCCTCTCCACTCTATGCTCCATGACCTGCTCTCCTCTCCACTCTATGCTCCATGACCTGCTCTCCTCTCCACTCTATGCTCCATGACCTGCTCTCCTCTCCACTCTATGCTCCATGACCTGCTCTCCTCTCCACTCTATGCTCCATGACCTGCTATCCTCTCCACTCTATGCTCCATGACCTGCTCTCCTCTCCAATCCACCCCAGTCCCTCATCGTCCTTCCACCCCTCCCACCGCCCCTCTTCCTACCTGCCCCTCCCACCGCCCTTATTTCTGCCTGCCCCTCCCACTGCCCCTCCCACTTCCCTTCCGTGGGCCTGTGCCGACGTGCTCCCGTGTGTGTGCGTGCATGGCAGGCTGGACTGGTCAGGCGGCAGCAGCAACTTTGGCGTGGGGCTGCCCCCACATGAGAAGAACGGCGACAAATGGGACATGTGAGGGGGGGGGGAGAGGGGGAGAGACGGGAGGGGGGGGCAGGAGGAAGAGGGTGGAGGATTGTGGAGAAGGAGGGGTCTTGGATAGCAGGGAAGGAAGGCAGGCGGCCATCACTTGTGGCAGTGCGAGTGCTACTTGCTTTGCTCTGAAACCAGCCCCTTTTCTGCCTTTCTGAGGCAGCATGTGCTACCGCATTGCACCGCTCTGCACCGCGCTGTTCCATTCCACCTTCCTTCTGTCCCCTCTGCCACACATAGGGAACAAGCTTCTCACCCTCCTTCGTATACAACCGGGGAGGGAGGAATACTTGGGTCTTGAATGTTTGAGTGCTCAGGGTTTTCCGTGTGCTCCTCTTCTTCCTGCATTTGACCTCCTCTCCTGTGCATTCACATCCCCACACACCTCCTCTCAGGATGCGTCCACTCCTGGCCAACCAATCGCTGCGTCCCACATCAGCAGACATAGGTGCCACGTCACGCTACCTGTGCATGCTGCTGGCTGTGCGCTACTCCTCGCCACTCTTCCGCCTGCCCTCTCTGGAGCTCGTTCAGGTGCGCTGGGGGGGGGGGAAGAGTTCTGGGGGAGAGGGCCTGGTAGGTCAGGTGACAGAACCAACTGTCAGGTTTCCTCTTTGAAGCTCGTTCAGGTGCGCAGGGAGACAGGGACAGTCAGGTGACCAGAGGTCGGTGATTTCTAGCCCTTGTTAAAGTTAATGCTCGGACAGCACCGGCATTCATTGGGGTGTTTTGGTTTCCTCACAGACGGGGTGAGGTGATCCGCTCCCAGGTTTGATGACAAGACCATCTCAGGGCAGAGCATGCACCCTCGGCTCTGCTCAGCCATGCTGAATGACAGCCACATGACATGTCTTTAGGCCAATCGTTTCTGCTCCGCATCTCCTCCCTTGCGTTTAGCCTGTGTTGCCTCTTGCCTTGCTCCCCTGTGCCGTCACCCTTCCACTTCTCCCCTGCCTTCCCATGCCCTCGCCCTTGCCCACCCTTCCACAGGAGCGAGTGCGATTCCTCAATGTGGGCCCCACAGCGCTGCCAGGGGTGATAGTAATGAGTGTGACTGATGGCGACGATGGCTCAGGCATGGCCCAGCTGGACTCCAGGTGAGCTGCCCCGCGCTCACCAGTCATGACCACCATGTGAGTCAACTCAAATCAGAGGGAAGCCAAGGTGAGACACAACAAGGCACAGAGCAGAGATACTCTGGCCGGCCAGAGCAGTCTAAGGCTCTAAGATGTGCTTTCAGCCGTGTCTAAGGCTCTAAGATGTGCTTTCAGCCGTGTCTAAGGCTCTAAGATGTGCTTTCAGCCGTGTCTAAGGCTCTAAGATGTGCTTTCAGCCGTGTCTAAGGCTCTAAGATGTGCTTTCAGCCGTGTCTAAGGCTCTAAGATGTGCTTTCAGCCGTGTCTAAGGCTCTAAGATGTGCTTTCAGCCGTGTCTAAGGCTCTAAGATGTGCTTTCAGCCGTGTCTAAGGCTCTAAGATGTGCTTTCAGCCGTGTCTAAGGCTCTAAGATGTGCTTTCAGCCGTGTCGCAGGTGGGTCGCTCTGCTTCACAAGATCATCATCTGCCTCTCATCTGATTCGATGCATGCATCACGTGGCATGGCATGGCATGGCATGGCATGGCATGGGCAGATGGGTGAGCAGCATGTGGAGATCTAGATTGATTTCCCACCACCACCTCCCGCAAGAAACGTGTTTGTCTGTCCTCACACTACAGTCAGTTCCCACCACCTTCAGTTGATTTTTTAATCCAATTGCTGAATTTGAAATGCGCCTCTCACTCCATCCATGGCAGGTTCCGAATGCTGGTGCTGGTGGTGAGCATGCAGCCCCAGCTTGCCCGCCTGCACCTGCCGTCCCTGCTCTCACGCAATCTCGTTCCGCACCCACTGCAGGTCAGTGCCTCCCTCTTCCTCCTACCCCCCTCCCATAACTCGCCAATTCTCTCCCGTGCCTTCCCTCTCACCTCTCCTGTTTTCTGTTCCAGCCTTTTCTTAATGCTCGCCTTCCCATTCCATGGTAAATCTGCTCCTTCCCTGTACCCCTCTGCGCCCCATTTAGGAGCAGCATGGCATGGTGCCATCACAAGCAGCAGCAGCAGGCCCATGGTTCCAAGCAGACACGGCTATGCTGACTGTTCCACCACTGGCAGCCCTCGCCCTGGTGGAGATGAGGGAGTGAACCCCCCTGTGCTTGTCTGTGCTTTGCTGTGTGTTGTGCAATCCTCCTGAGATATGCATGAGGGGCGCATTCACACAAGCATGCACACAGACGGGTACAATCATACACATTCACACACTCACACACATACATGTGCTCGTACACACACGCACGCACACACACACACGCACGCACAAACACACACGCACGCACAAACACACACGCACGCACACACACACACACACGCACACACTCACTCACACGCACACGCACAAATGCGTGCGCGCTCGCACAGGCATGCACGCATGTTTACACACAGACCCACACGTGGTACAGTGCTGTTGCATTCTCCTCCGGTATCACAACTGCTGTCAATCTGATCCGTGGTTATCCATGAAAAACAGTAATCTGATCAACAATTATATTCATTCAAAACATTCAGTAGAGCCTCATATTTTTCTATGATACATGTTGTATTCAATTGTATGAATTTTGTGTATGTTTTTTAAACACTTGGTTGGTGGCACATGCAATGAAGATACGGTCAAACCTCGGATGTCGAATAATCGGAGAGGGCGCACATACAATACGCAAAACGTACTTTTTTAGGGGAGTGCAGTGTAGAATGTGTTAAGAATTAACAAGCAGGAATGATGTAAGCTATCGAGAGAGTTGGTACAAGTACAAAACATAAAGGGGTTGTACCCCATGTTGGCTACCCCACGGGCCTCAGATATCAGGGAAAAAACCCTGAAGTTCCTGATTTTGGCAGTCGTTTTTTTACATACCCTGAAAAGTCAGTGTTGAGATTTTTGAGGGACTGAAATTTCAGATTTTTTTGTTAGGCCACACTGAAATTTCATACTTTTTTCCCCTAGGACACTGATGCCACAACACTGTAACGAAACCAACACTGAAGCGATTCTTACCTATGCCATGTGGATTTGACCGCAATTACCGTCAGCCCCCGGATAGAAGCGCCCATGGGGGTATAAAAAAACACTGTTTTTTAGGGGGTGCGCTTATATCTGAGGATTTTTATATGCGCCCGGGCTTATATAATGACATATATAAAATCTATATTTTTTTTTTATACTAACGTGAGAGAAACTGAACGAGAATGAAAATGACTAAGGGAAAGTTGGGTACAAGTACAAACCCTAGAAAGTTGTACCCCATATGTGCTACCCCACTATAGCCTACAGTAGCTATGTCATATAAATCAGACACACCCCCATACGCAAAGTGGGGGAGAACAAGGGGTCACAAGACCAGTCAAGCAAAGCAAAGCAAGCTCAGGGTGGATCACAAAGTCACCACACATTCCGAGCACAAGTTCAAGGCCACAAGGCCAGTTCACATGCAGGATTACATATATATATAAGGCTAGACAAGCAAGAGCAGGTGTATATGTATATATGCAACAGTACAAACAAGGTCAAGGGGTGAGCAATTGAGGCAAGGTAGGCACAAGACCCAGCTGAGTACAGAAGCGCTGATGATCACAAGGCGCAAGTGCCTTGGTGAAGATATCAGCAGTGTTGGCCTCAGAGGCCACGTACGCAAGGCGCAGCTGACCACACTGCTGTAGCTCACGAGCAAGGAAGTAGCGGAGAGCAATGTGCTTCGTTCTGTGCTCCAGTCTCTGCTCTCAACACAAGGCCAGCATGGCCTTGTTGTCTACGTACAGCACTGGAGGAGAACGAGGCGGCTCTCCGAGGTTAGTTAGCAGGTAGGTGAGCCAGCGAAGCTCCTGTGCAGCCATGGCCCCGAGGTAGATCTCAGCCTCACAACTGGAGCCGAGAACAGAAGATGAGCGGGTAGCCCGCCACGAAACAGAGCCGGAACCAAGGCTGAAGGTGTAACCCTGTGTAGCCTGGTCGTCAGCCAAACAAGCGTCTGCGTGCCCAGTGAGGACCACCGGACTCTGCCCTCCAAGCACAAGCCCCATGCCCGACGTACTGCACAAGTAGGGGAACACCCTCTTCGCTGCAGCCATGTGCTCCGGTCTGTGTCTCCCAGGAGCAACATAGCGTGCAAGAATGCTAAGAGGGTATGCAAGGTCAGGTCGTGTGCAGGTCATCAGGTACATGAGGCAGCCAACAAGCTCTGGGTACGGGCCACTCGACTCTATGGAATCATCCGAAGGCAGAGCTGAGAGCGAGTGGTGAGTAGACAGAGGAGTGGCCTGAGGCGAGGAGTACGTGAAGCCGAAGCGCTGAAGGACCTGCTGCACCATGTGTGACTGAGTCAGGGTAATGGTGGGGCGTGCTCTGTCTCGGGTGATCTGCAAGCCAAGGTAGTTGCGCAGTTCACCTAGGTCAGTGCACGTGTGTCTCTTCTGCAGCTCGGACTTCACGTGGGCGAGTCCAGCACTGTCAGCTTTGGCAAAGACCAAGTCGTCGACGTACACGAGGATGTAGAACGGCGGCAAAGAAGTGTTGGTGCGCAAAAACAGCGATGGGTCAGCAGTAGAGGGAGCAAACCCAAGAGCCGCAAGTGTAGTCCTCAGTGTGTCGTGCCACTCACATGGTGCCTGGCGGAGACCATAGACTGGCCGCTGGAGGCTCCACTGTTGAACAAGAATGAATGAACTAAGAGTGAAATGAGTACAAGTATCAAAACCTAGGAATGTGTACCCCCTATAGGCTAACCTACTGTAGCCTAAACAACTACAACAACATATATAATGTTTGACACACCCCCATAGGCGAAGTGGGGGAGAACTAGGGGTCACAAGACCAGTCAAGTAAAGCAAAACAAAGCAAGCTCAGGGTGGATCACAACGTCACCACACAATCCGAGCACTAGTGCAAGGCCACAAGGCCAGTTCACATGCAGGAGTACAGATATATATATATATATATATGACTAAACAAGCAAGAGCAGTGATATATATATGTAACAGTACAAAGAGGGTCAAGAGGAGAGCAAGTTAGGCAAGACAGACACAAGACCCAGCTGGGTACAGCAGCGCTGATGATCACAAGGCGGAAGTGCCTTGGTGAAGACATCAGCAGTGTTGGCCTCAGAGGCCACGTACGCAAGTCGCAACTGACCACGCTGCGGTAGCTCACGAGCAAGGAAGTAGCGGAGAGCAATGTGCTTTGTTCTGTGCTCCAGTCTCTGCTCCCGACATAAGGCCAGCATGGCCTTGTTGTCGACGTACAGGACTGGAGGAGAACGAGGCGGCTCTCCAAGGTCGGTCAGCAGGTAGGTGAGCCAGCGAAGCTCCTGAGCAGCCATGGCCCCTACGTAGATCTCAGCCTCACAACTGGAGCCAAGAACAGAAGACGAGCGAGTAGCCCGCCACGAAACAGAGCCAGAACCAAGGCTGAAGGTGTAACCCTGTGACGACCGCTGCGTAGCCTGGTCGTCAGCCCAAGAAGCGTCTGCGTGTCCAGTGAGGACCACAGGACTCCGCCCTCCAAGCACTAGTCCCATGCCCGACGTACTGCACAAGTAGCGCAACACCCTCTTCGCTGCAGCCATGTGCTCCGGTCGGTGTCTCCTAGGAGCAACATAGCGTGCAAGAATGCTAAGAGGGTATGCAAGGTCAGGTCGTGTGCAGGTCATCAGGTACATGAGACAGCCAACAAGCTCTGGGTACGGGCCACTCGACTCTACGGACTCATCCGAAGGCAGAGCTGAGAGCGAGTGGTGAGTAGACAGAGGAGTGGCCTGAGGCGAGGAGTACGTGAAGCCAAAGCGCTGAAGGACCTGCTGCACCATGTGTGACTGAGTCAGGGGAATGGTGCGGCGTGCTCTATCCCGGGTGATCTGCAAGCCAAGGTAGCTGCGCAGTTCACCCAGGTCAGTGCACGTGTGTCTCTTCTGCAGCTCGGACTTCACGTAGGCGAGTCCAGTAGTGTCAGCTGTGGCAAAGACCAAGTCGTCGACGTACAGGAGGATGTAGAACGGCGGCAGAGAGGTGTCGGTGCGCAGAAACAGCGACGGGTCGGCAGTAGACGGAGCGAACCCAAGAGCCGCAAGCGTAGTCCTCAGTGTGTCGTGCCACTCACGTGGCGCCTGGCGGAGACCGTAGAGTGGACGCCGGAGACTCCACTGGGTACCAGGAGGGAAAGACCCAGTGAAGCCAGGTGGGCGGCGCAGCCAGATCTCCTCGTGCAAGCTGCCCTGCAGGAAAGCTGTGCTGAAGTCGAGAGAGTGCAGCTCGTAGTCCCGGTGAGCAGCTACGTGCAGCAGTACCCGAAGAGTGGTCATCTTCGGGGTGGGGGAGAAGGTCTGAAAGTAGTCAACTCCCTGTCGCTGACTGAAGCCACGAGCCACGTAACGCGCCTTGAAGACAGGCGGAGAACCCGGCGGCCGCTTCACCCTGAAGATCCACATGCCACTGACGATGTTCGCCCCTGGAGGGGGGACAGCGTCAACGTAGGTGCCTGTGGACTTCCAAGAAGCCATCTCTGCATCCATAGCTGCCTGCCACTGAAAGGAGTAGGGACCCTCTACGGCCTCCGCGTAAGAGCGCGGAGTCGGGATGTCAAGTGCATCCGGGTCTCCCTCAGGGGTAAGCAGTACGGACACGAGATGAGGTGAAGCAGCTGCCAGACACTGGAACTCCTCCTGCTTGTCCTCAAGGACGTCCGTGCCAAGGGCACACTCACCCCCGACAGACGGAGGACAGACAGACTCAGACTCAGCGATAAGACTAGCAGCGTAGTCTAAGCGACAGCGAGCAGCAAAGTCGACAAGCTGAGTAACGAGAGCAGACGCAGCAGTAGACTCGAAAGAAGGGTCAGTGACAACAGTAGCAAGGAGACGCGTGACAGTAGGACTGGCAGCACGAAGAGAGTCCGACTCAGGGTCGGCGAGAGCAGGAAGAGAGGACGCAGGAGGAGAAGGCAAAGGGGCACGCAGAGGAGCAGTAGACGGACGTAGAGACATCCAGTGCGTGCCAGGGGCAGGAGGAGGACGCTGGCGCGAACTACGAGCACTAGTGCTAGCAGGACGGACAGGCGACGCCGGACGAGACGTAGACTCACGACGCTCAGTAAGACCGC